CCCTGCATGTCGCCAGGCCAGTTAGATGCACCCTCAAGATGTCCATAGAGTCCGTGATACACCGTCCTCATCATCCACCGCTCCATCTGTGTAATTGCTTCCTTGAGAGATTACATTCTCGCCAGCGACAGCACCAATTAGGCAGTCAGGAGGAAAATATGACAATAAGGCCCTACTTAGCACAGAAAAGTAGCATTCAGATACATATCAGCATAATCTTAATGAGTCAACAAACATGACATTTAGACGTGCTCTCGTGCAAATGTTTGAGTTGGATGTGGGAGATCATGTTCCATTCGTTGAACTAGTACGGGGAAAAAATCTGGCAAAGTTTCAGATTTTGGATTAAAGTTACAAGAATTTACATGAGTAATTGATGGTAGGGGGTTGACAAAAGGGGCTTTGGTTTGTCCTTTTAAGGAATGCCTCACGCCTATGATGTCAGGATCTCAATTGCATGGTCATCGCTGATGCAGACTACAAAGCCTTAAACCACACCTACACTGCGACATCCGATTGGATTTACGCACATGTTGCTATCATTTAACAATCAGACAGGAGAGAATCCCTGTCTCTGTGTCTTGTCTGATAGATAGTCCATCACAAAAGGATTTAACTCTCCAAGCAGAAACTGGAACTGAGCTCTTTTCTACAGATCTTCATCCTCAGCTCAGGTGAGTAAAATACCTGTAAAATTTTCTGGATTGCCTGTATTTTATACTACAGTTTTATTAAAATGTTTTAGTTTATCTTTCTTTCTTTCTAATCAATTTGACAAAGGTTTCATCAGCAAATGAAATGACAATGACAGCAGTTTTTTTATTATTATTATTTGAATTTCACCAAGTAAAATGTGGTTTAATAAATGAATGATTTGATAAAAATGTGAAAAATTGCTTTAGTGTTCTGCATATTTTCTTCTCAGAATAATCTGTAAAGATGTACCGTGGACTTGTGTTACTGTTCTTGGTTTTGGTGCTGGAAACCCGATGGAGTGAGTCGAGCTGTCAGCAGTCAGAGTCTCAAAGATCAGTTTCAAGCGTAAGTGACAGATTATGAGCATCTCACAGCTGTAAATGTACAGGATTAGTACCCTGGTTTTAAAACAGAATCTTATTTATACGCACAGGAGAGTCCAAGTTTTCGGATGTCGACTCATAACTTGCTGAAGAGGTATAATGACATAGATTATGACAGTTTCGTCGGATTAATGGGGCGCAGAAACGCCGGTGAGTAAACTGATTTGTTCTTGTTGATGTTGTAATTTTGTGACAATTTCGCTTAATTTTCCTGTTGACGTGTCTCAAATGTGTGTGTGTGTGTGTGTGTTTTTTTTTTTTTTTTTACAGAAACAGATGATATACCACCCCAACGTAAAAGTAAGATATTTTTGGTGTGTGTGCTCTCATATTGTCTGTTCAGGTAATAATACATGTTGTCTTCCAGGGGAAATGCACGATATCTTTGTTGGACTCATGGGTCGACGAAGCGCTGAACCTGGTAAACAGCTTTTCGCTTCATTTCACTGATGTTTGTGAAAGACAAAAGTGACTGTACCTTTAGATGACTGTTATGAACTTGATAGTTTGCCGTTTATCTTTAAGCGAATAGTCATTTGGGGACGTCTTCAAATCCAAATTGGACCCAAAGCGGGTTTAGGAGTTTGATTCACAAACGACTCCTATGAGTCGATTCTTTGTGAGGAATCAAACACAAAGTTGCTTCAGGACAACTAACAAATAACTTTCAAACTGATCATAAAGACACAAGAGAATTTAATTAATGCAGTACTTTACATGATCTATCAGTGACTGAATCGATATCTGACTCACTTAGACTTGACGTTTTTATTACTTTCACTGAGGTACCGACTCGAAACTAATTACTTTTTGTGTTAATATGCTATAGTGCGATTTAAACTAGTTCCGACTGTATATATTTAACAAGGTGTAGTGAAAATTACACAATTTGCAAAGATTTTTTAACTGAACATATTTGCCTACATAGTAGCGTAGTATTAATGCGAATGGTGTCGATTGATCAAGCCTCTCAAACTTACTGTTATTTGTGTTGTCAGAATCCGGACGTCAATGGAGGAAAGAGTACCCAGAACCAAGCGGAGGAATCTTCTTTAACAAATGCAAACTGAGGTGAGCGTCTGCGATTATTCAGCAAGGCTGTTCTGCCACCTGCAGGCTTTCTGAAGACGTTACAACAAATGTCATTTCCTATCTGTTACTAATTTGTGCTCCTTCTCACAATTTACAGGTTTCGTCGTGGGTTATAGGCAAAAAAATATTTCATATCCACTAAATCGTCTGCACCACCCTGTCACGACAGCTTCTTTTCAATAAACTTCTTTGGAGCAACAACAAGAAGTTATAATCTATTTTACAAAAGTGATAGAGCAACAGCAATTTATACAAGATGAATCTAATAAACATGATTTCCTATGGTGTGATTTGTTTCATTGTACTGCAAATTATACATTTGATTACATCTTACAAGGCCAAATTGAAATCTCCATTTACATCCCATGCATTTCTATACATATTTATTCAAAGTTATTTTTGCTGTCTAATGTATAAAACATGAATTTTGTAAATAAAGATATTATCTAGGCTACCTGATCTTACGTTTTATGACTTAATGTTCACAACAGACTCTCAATCGACCAAATAAAAATTGTGCAATCAGATACATTTGCCAAAGCACTGAGGATTTGACTCATGACAAACTGTATACTGCCTTTTGTCTCATTGCTAAAAAACTAAAGGTCTTTGTCTATGAATTAATAGAATAAATTTAATAACACGTTCTATATTTGGATTAGAAGGCAAAAAACTATTTATTCCAACAGCAAGAGACATACAGAAGCAAACATGTATCCAAAGTGACTTGCAGTTACATTTATTACCAGCATACTGTAACAAGCCTTGATCAAGAGCAATACAGACGAAGTTTGATGTTTGATGATTATTGAACCTACATTATATAGTGCCCTCAACTAATATTGGCACACTTGGTAAATATGAAAAGACTTTTAAAAAATGTCTTTTCACGCCTTTGCTCAAAATATTAGGATGCTTAAGTTTGTTTTGGGTAAGAGCTTAAGCATTTTTTTTTTAATTTATGCAATTATCCAGCAGTGATTACTGGAGATTTTTTTTGGGCCATTAGGTCCATTATTCTACATTCAGTTAAGACAAAATGAACTTAAATTAAATAAGAAAATGCTTTGAAAAAATGTCAGCTTTTTTAATCCTTTGCTCAAAATATTAGGATGTTTAAGTTTGCTTTGGTTTAGAGCTCAAGGTTTTTTCTTCAAACTTCTGCAATTATTCAGCAGTGATTAATGAAGATTTTTTTGGCCATTTGAACCATCGTTTCACATTCAGTAAAGACCAAATTAACACTTGTCCTCTTCCAGGCTGATCCATAACACTTCCGTTTGGACTGATACCATTTTATCAAAACTGTTGCCCTGATAGTTAAAATTTCAGTGTTTCTACTTTCTTATACTTACTTCTCATTTTGTGTAGCTTAATAACCTTTTGTCACCTTATTTATGTTATGAAGAAGAACTGAGAGTTTGGTCAATGTGTTACCTCTCATCTACAGATCTCAAAAACAGGAAGTCATGAATAATTTCCTCTTCATGTTCACCTACACTGTTAAATGCGATTCGTTGATTTTACTTATCTTGATTACCAAATGCCTTAAAGAGACTGTTCACCCAAAAATGAATATTTCATCATTTACACAGTTTACTTGTTTCAAACCTTTATGAGTTTATTTCATCTGTTAAACTCTAAAGAATATATTGGAAGAAATCTAAAAACATGTAACTATTGCCTTCCATAGTATTTGGCTTCCTCTGAAAGTTCATGGTTACAGGTTTTCAGCTTTCTTTAAAACATCTTCTTTGATGTTCAACAGAAGAAAGGAACTCGTAAAAGTTTATAACCACTTGAGATTAAGTAAATAGTAAGTAAATGTTAATTTTGGGGTGAACTATGCCTTTAAATCTAAGTAATTGAACTGTAAATAAATTTATAAAAATTAGGTATAATTTGTTGTTAATGTCAACTTTTTGTCAAGACAAGTTTTCAAGTCAATTTAAAAGTCACCTATTTTACCTCTTTTTCAAGATTTAAAAGAAGTCTTTTGTGTCTCCAGAATATGTCTGTAAAGTTTCAGCTTAAAACACCCATCAGAATATTTATTACTTTCAGAATATTGGAATTTTCTGCTCTGAACACAAAAATGTAGCCTGTGCCTTTGATGTTAGTTCTCCCCGCCCACCTTTCCCACATGCCTGTCATAATCTCTGCCTCAGATAAACAGCACAGTGACAGACATTCATATTTGATGCATTTGTTGTAGAGTTAATTCAAGCCTTTCTACAACGATGAGTCACAACAATTTTGTTACAAATTTCACAGACACACACACAGCGTGCGTTTAACTTTGCACTGTTTTTGCACGGTGAATGTGACATGGTACGCGGTAATATCCACTGCTGTATGAATATACGTTATGTTAATGTACAAAATTAACCTGATTTAATGTCCACAAATCAGGATTGAAGCCTCTTCTTTTCTAATTGTACTGACATGCAGCTGTGGTGATGAATTACAGTGAATTTACCGTCTTTAATTTACTTTATTACAAACATGTACTGTTTTCAAAAAAGTTTTAAACTTGTCAAACTCATTCTTGATCACATTTGATGATCATAGCGAGCTGAACAGATCTTTTAATCCCGGTTGCTTTGTGCTCGTCCTGCCTTGTTGATATGATTATATGCATTACTATGGAGACATGCTAATATGTGGCTGTCAATCAATTTGGTGGGAAACTGCACTCCCACGTCAAGTTGGGCCTTAAAATGGAAGGGATTTATATCCTATTTTCACATCAGGAAATTAAAAAAAGAGACTTATTGTGTTTCTATCACCCCAATATGACTGTGGAAACACAATGCCTAAACACAGTTCTGTCCAAACAACTCACAAAAGATGATTTTAATCCTAAACTGCCCTTTAAAGCTTTTAAGGCATGAGATTTACATTCCTTTTTAAGAAACAAACTGCTTTTTACAGTGAAGGTGCATTAAAAAACTTATCAACAGGAATATACTTCAATAATAGCTGGAAATAACTGTGATACACATATACTTAACAGATTTTTGAATTTGTGTTGTGATTTTTAACGTGTTTTTAATGTTGAAAAGATGAAAAAGATCACAAGGTTAAATGAAAAGATCAAATGGTTAATCAATAAAGGCAATTTTTCATGTTAACCAAGGTTTCCAATGTTAATGGAGGACACTTTACCTTTTGGTAATCAGCTGAAATCTGTACCCAATACAACACATGCTTATAGTACACAGAAAATGCTACACAACTTTACCATTCACATTAGTCAGTCCCTTCATTTCAGATTTACAGAACACTCCATTCAAAAAAGAAACACAATCACCCTGCACTTCTGTGGGTTGTGTTTCTCTCCTGGGCAGCATTTGTGATTTTGTTACTTGTTTCAGTCGTCTTTACTTCTTCAGCTCTGGGATTCACTGAGTTTGTTAAAGCTAGTTTTTCTTTAGTGCCCTCCTCTGATCTCTGAGTTTCTGTCGTGCTTTTCACAGTTTGGGACGGTGAGGACAGGACAGCAGGCACTGGAGGCTGGTAGCGGTGCTGGTAGCCAAACGGCCTCAGATGGTAAGTGTAGTATTCAAGGGTGTACATGAGCACAGGATCTACGTAGTGGAAAGACACTGCCAGATCAGAGCAGCACTGAGGGCCCTGTAGGAGTAAAACAGACACAAGAGATTCTGAGATGATAATATTTTTACAACTGATCACAGATAATTTGCTTTAAAGAAATATTTTAGGTTTAGCAGCTTGTGTCATAATGTTGATAAGCACAGGGGTCTCCAGATCCCAATAGAGTACTTTTTCTTTTTTTTAAAAAAGTCAGATATTAAGGAATAGTTTATTAATGCCATTAAAAATAGAATTCAATAAACAATTTAGTAAAATAAACATATATGCACAACAATAAAATATAAATAATCAGTTTTCAAAATTGTAATATTTATAATATTTTTGTTTTATAAAAAATAAATAATAAAAAAATAACTAAAACATGATTAAATTTTAATCAAATTTTTCCAAAATTTTATTACGATAAATTAAAAATAAAATGAAAATAAAATAAAGCAAATATATAAAAGTGAGTTCTAAAAAGGTTAATAAATGTCAAATAAATATACAAAATTAAACAATTATATAGTATAACTTCATAGAAACAGTCTTTTCTTTTCAGCAAACTTTCTTAAAAAATAAATAGTGACAAAACTGAAGCCCCACTCATTGAAACTAAAAGTGTCTTAGATAAATTAGATCCTTTTAAAATAGACATTGATAATAGTACAATTTGTCCTGCTCTACAGGTCAAGAGTTTGGGTGTCATCTTGAAAAGCACACTCGTTTGAAAGGCATATCAATAATATTATGCATACTGCATACTTCCACCTGCATAATATTACTTGTCTCCGCTCCTCTCTTACATCCAATAACACAGCAAGTCTTATCCATGCATTAGTTACTTCACGTCTTGACTACTGTAATGCACTTCTCACTAGGCTTCCTTCTAAAATTCTCCATAAACTCCAACTGGTTCAGAAACATTTGTTTTGGTTTATCTGTTGATGCTTGTTGTAAGGTGACCTTATAGGTGTCCAGAAAGGCAAAGTTTATAAATAAAATTAATTATTATTATTATTATTATTATTATTATTGTTATTATTATTATCCCAGTGATGGATTGCAGCTGGAAGGGCATCTGCTGTGTAAAACATATGCTGGGTAAGTTGACGGTTCATTCCACTGTAGCGACACCCAGATTAATAAAAGGACTATGCCAAAAAGAAAAAATTATATTATTATTATTATTATTATTATTATCAAAAATAAACAAATACATGTAATATCTTACAAAATAAAACAGAATAAAACTAAGAATTACAAATTAGATTGAAATTAAAGTTCACAAGACTTTTGATTAGAATGTTGAATTGATTTGATGTTTTCTGTGATTAATCAAAAGATTCACAGGTAAATCACAGTTAAAACAATTATAAAAATAACTGCTAGCTCCAGTGCTATTTAAATTCCTTGCTTTTTTGTTTTGTCTTTACAAAAATGTTGTCTTTAACATGCAGAACACAAAAGAAGATATTTTGAAGAATGCTGGTAACCAAACAATTAATGGTTCATATTGACTTCAATAGAAAGGGGGGAAAACTATGTGGATTATTATTTATTTACCAGTATTCTTCAAAATATCTTCTCTTGTGTACAGAAGTAGTAGAAAAACATAAGTAAGAAAGTTTGGATTAAGTGGAGTTGTGCAGTAAATGATAAAAAAAACATTTTTCAAGTATTCCCAAAAGGCTATTATTTTCAGAAAGACATACACTCATTCATCATTAATCATATTAGTTTTTATAAACACACTTTATAAAACACTGAAACAGCATTTGTGCCCTTTCTCGTTGCCATTCCGATTACCATAAAAAGTACTAAATTGTTAGTATCTTAGGTTTTGTATTGTTATTCATTAGCTGTCTAGTCACGAATCACAATCATCACGTAAAAACTATTGACAAATGCTGCCCCCATCAAACCTACCCATTGTGGGTTTCACTTGCAATCACCTGAACGAGGTTGCTAAAATGATGAGAGGTAATTTCATTCTCAAGTACATTTCTCAAACAATGTTGTTGATTTTTATTCACACCCATCTTAATGGAAAATCACTTTTTTTGCTTAAATTGTTTTCTCTACTCAGTGGCACTCACGTTTTTAAAAACGTATCAAATTATATGTTTAAGTTTTGCCAAAGAAAAAGAAGTCCTAATTAGCTTGCTGCATTTAGGAAATGAGAGGCTACTGAATGTAGAGGAATGTCATAAAGGACACAAAATGTTTTAAAGTTTGTAACTTTTTTATTTAGCATATTTTTTGCAGTTTTTATTTAGAATATATTAAAATAATTAAAAGTGAAAGGATTTTATTCATTCATTCATTTTCTTGTCGGCTTAGTCCCTTTATTAATCCGGGGTCGCCACAGCGGAATTAACCGCCAACTTATCCAACAAGTTTTTACACAGCGGATGCCTTTCCAGTCGCAACCTATCTCTGGGAAACATCCACACACACTACAGACAATTTAGCCTACCCAATTCACCTGTACCACAGGTCTTTGGACTGTGGGGGAAACCGGAGCACCCAGAGGAAACACACGCGAACACAGGGAGAACATGCAAACTCCACACAGAAACACCAACTAAGCCGAGGCTCGAACCAGCGACCTTCTTGCTGTGAGGCGACAGCACTACCTACTGCACCACTGCTTCACCGAAAGGATTTAATATTGTTCCAAAATATTTTAATGACAGATAAATGTTGTTCTTTTACCTTTATTTTTTAAGAAGAATCCCGAAAATGCTTAACTTAAATTTTTTTTTAAGTTTGTAACTTTTTTTTTTAGCAGGAATATATAAAAATAATTAAAAGCGAAAGCACTCTATGATGTTTCATAATATTTTAATGGCAAACCAATTTAGATATTTTGAACTATTTATTTTTTAAAAAAGAATCCTAAAGAAAGTTTCATGTTTGAATGATAACAACTTAAGCTTGCTATTTCTGAAGTTTTTTTCTTTCTTTCTAAACAACAGTTTTTACCATAACAAAACTATTAAAGATGTAGGTTTAATTGTGCTGAGGATATTGACAGGGTTTTTACATTTTCATAGTGGTGGACAGAGCACTGAAAAATCATACTTACAGTAAGTTAAAGTACAGTTACTTGCCAAAAAATGTAGAGCAAGTACAGTAAAAATATCTTTTGTAAATATTACAAATTTACATGTCATTTTTGGATGTGTGTAAATGTAACACGCACTGTATTGCGTTTAGGTATTGCCCAACAGGCACACAACGTCATAAGACTTTAATATTAGTTTAGATTTAGGTTGTGATGTCAGGTTTAAGAATTCAATGTCTAGTCATTATCTAAGGACAATGTTATTTTGATGTCCAATAATGACATGAAATGACGTTGATTTTAGGTTGTTAGAAAGTGACCAAAATCCAACGCAGAGCAAACATCTTAAACCAACGTCATATTGATGTGAAATGCTCACATTTATTCGTCAGATAAAATCCAACATCTGATAGACGTCATAGTGGTAAAGTCCAAAAACATCAAGCTGTAACATCATTATATGTTGAAATTTGGTTAATTTTAGGTTTGACAATGTCGGCCTGACGTTGGGTTCTGATGTCAACCCGATTTCATTTCCAAACAAAATGTAATGTCTCTACAATGTTGGGGTACAAAGTCAATCTGAGGTCATGTTGACATCTTGTGCCTGCTGTATGTTTAAGGCCATTTCGGTCATTATACAGTAAACATTCTTCATCTTCTCATCAGTGACATGCATCTAAACAGTCTCTGGGTCATAGCGTAGAAAGATTTGGACACCAACTTGGACACTTTTAATGCTTCCAAACAGTTTGATGCTATTAAAAATCACCCATGTCTTGAGGTAGTTCATTATGTTTGTTTATGTGCGATTTGATTGGACAGGAATCACAGGACTGATTTTTCTAATCCCCATAGAAAAGAAAAAGTAGTGACTGGAGGTTGAACGAAAGTAGTGGAGTAAAAGTACAGATACAGTACTAAAAATGTACTCAAGGGAAAGTAAAAGTGCACATATTTAAAACTACTAAGTAAATTACAATCCCTGAGAAAAACTACTCAATTACAGTAATTTGAGTGTTTGCAATTACCACTGCCTTTTTAATAAAGAAAAACAATCTAAGAGCCAAATGAATGTCATGTTCCTTTACAGAACAACACCATTTTAGGAATATTTTAGGATGAAATCTTTTTTTTCACTGTATTTATGTTTTTATTTCAGTTAATGTATATGTTTCTGATAGAATGTTCTGTATAATGGGTTCAGTAGAATTAATAAGTGTTGATGGTAATAAGAAATGTAAAAAAATATATAAGAATAATAAAAGCATGAATAATTAACACTGGAGTAAAAATTTAGCTTTGCATCACCGTAATAAATTACATTTTGAAATATACTTAAAAAGAAAACCATTATTTTAAATTGTAACAATATTTCACCAAACATATGTTTTAGCTGTATAAAATAAACCCTGCCTGACTTTTTTTTAAATCTCACCAACCAAACTCATTTAAATGCTAGTGTTTAAAAAAAAAAAAGTGTCTGACTTACTTCTACAATTGGGTAATAGCAATAATTCCAGTACCAGAAGGTCTTGGAGAACTTTCCAGTAAGATGATGCTCGGGAATAAAAGGATGAAAGGTTTCTCTGTGCAGCGAGTCCCTCGAGTCTCCAGCCAGGACCCCCATTTTCTCCAGACACTGCCCCATCGCCAGATCCTCCACCGGTGTAGTATGAGTGCACACTTTAGTGCTAAACCCCTCCACAAACCTTCTTAGAGCTTCTTTACTGAGCACATACCCTGCGCCACCGCTCATGTAGCCCTGCTTGGTGTACGGCTTAAACCGCTTGCCAAAATATATAGGCTGCTCCGGTGTGTGGTTCGACAGGATCCATCGCAAATTGTCCACAACGACGAAAGTATCATCGTCTGCTTTGAGGAACCAGTCTGCCTCATGGCCGTGGTTCTTTAGGGCGTAGTGGAAGGCACGGATGGTCTTCCAGTACAGTTGGTCTCGGCCTTCACCAGTGCCAAGGCCAACTGTGGGAAAACTGCGGTCTTCTTCTGAGCTCATAAATAGTACTACGTTACAGTGGCGACTCCATGTGTTCTTCACATGCTGAGCTTTTGACTGGAGGTTACTGGGTCCGGTCATCACCCAGCATAGGATTCGCACTTTCCTGAACAGCTCATCGGCTATGTGACCGTCCTCTCCTGTGACATTTAAAAAGGAAAGTTTACAGGGTAACACTTTTATTTAGGTCACAATTTATGGTATTAACAAACATTAAATACCACCACTAGCTTAATAAGCTACTTATTAGCTATTTATTAATAGTTAGGTAAAAGTTGAGTTTAGGTTTTGGGTAGGATTAGAAAAACAGATTTAGATCATACTTTATAGCTACAAATGAACAGTTAATAACAATAATAGGCAGGTAATAAGCCTGTTAATAATAGTGTGAACTGTGACTAAAGTGTTACCGTTTATTGTTATGGAGCAGTGGAGTTTAATGCAATCAAGGGAGGATTATTGGTGATTTTCTTGATAAAATATCCTATTATTTCTTTATTGAAAAAAATGTTTAATATAAACTACAGGTTTGAAAATTAGGAACACTAAAGGATTTATAATGTGTTTGCATAAAAATATGATCTTTGTTTTATTCTGCTAACTTCTAATGATGCATCTATCAAATATATATATATATATATATATATATATATATATATATATATATATATATATATATATATATATATATATATATTATAATATAATGTAATGTAATATAATATAATATAATATAATATAATATAATATAATATATCATTTTTGTTTTTAGTCAAATGTATTGCCATTCCTTTTAAGTATAATGGTGATACTTTTGTTTGAAATTTAAATAAAAACTGTTATCAGACAATTATAGACTAAAATAAATATTAGCACTTTGCTTAAATCCAAACCTAGTAAATATCAACTATCAAAACTATCAAACTATCAATTCAATTCAATTCAATTCATGTTTTTTTTCTATAGCCCTTTTACTATGTAGATTGTGTCAAAGCAGCTGGTTCTGTTAAATTCAAATTGAATTGTGTCAGTCCAGTTTTCAGGTTCACTTAGTCAAAAAATGCTGCAAATGTTGAGTTTCTTTTAATTGTCAGTTGTTAACCTGGAAAATTAATTAAAAACAAATATTATAACGTAAAACTAGCAATATTCTCATATAATATATATTAAAAGAAAGTTAACCGTTTAACTATCATAATAACTGCCTGCTTGAAATCTAGGTAATCGTTAAAACAAACAAAAAAGTGCTCTTAGAAATACAATTCAACTAAAAAAATTTTCATAATCAAAATCAAATTTCATAATCATTTTCAAAATCAAATTTTCCTTAGGCTGGGAGTTAAATAGTTAAATAGTGGTAAACTACTATTACAAGAGGGAAACCCTAAAAGATGCATTTCTGCAGCAATATCAGATTAAATACCACTGTTGCAAAATGTGTCTTTATTATAGAAGCTAATTTAATCTTTCCTTCATCATAAATATTCATCGCCATTGAGTCATAACATTTCAAAGTGATTTATATCATTTGTCAGACAACAAACACTGTATTTACCTGCTTTATCTGAGATGCATCCATGTTATCGGACACTTACACTCCATGTAATACATTAATCATGGCTGACAGTGAATACAGTGGCATTGGTAACTTAAAACACTTTCTTCCGCACAATGCTGCACCTACACAATGTATTTCAGTCCAATACCAAAAAACTGATTATTTACAATTTGTTGACCCACGTTAGATCAACAAACTGTAGTGTCCTGCATTCACTAGTATAAAATAGCAAAAAAAAAAAAAAAAAAGAGTGGATGTCAAAACTGTTAGCCCTCCTGTAATTTTTTTTTCTTTTTCAAATATTCCCCAAATGTTTAACAGAGGAAGACATTTTTAACATTATTTCCTATAATATTTTTCTTTTTCCAAGTAGAAAGTCTTACTTGTTTTATTTCGGCTAGAATAAAAGCAGTTTTTTTTTTTTATATCCATTTTAAGGTCAAAATTATTTGCCCCCTTAAGCAATATACATATATATATATTTTTTTTCTTCAGTTGTCTACAGAACAAATTGTTATACAATGACTTGCTTAATTACACTTATTTGCCTAGTTAACATAATTAACCAGTTAAACCTTTAAATTGCACTTTAAGCTCATTTCTAACATCTTGAATGAATAAAAATATTTAGCACAATAATATCTCCTGTCACAATGGCAAAGATAAAATAAATCAGTTATTAAAGATATTATGTTTAAAATGTGTTGAAAACGAATCTCTTATTTTGATCAATCAGACATCGGGAACAAAAATGTATTTTATAAATCTGCCTTTAACCGTATATCTGGGGTGGGATTTTTTACATTTTTTTATTTGATTGTATATAAAGATAAATGGTACACACCTGGCTGGTTAGGATGCTTGAGGTTGATCAGGGCAGATCCTTCAACTCTCCAGGTAAGGTTGGAGGAGTTTTGCTCTTGGCTTATTGGTGGAGACGGGCTGCTCCTGCCATTGCTCTGCCAGCTGAAGCTCTCCTCAAACCAAACCTGCCTCAGGAAGACGTACAAACTACAGCTGCCCACCAGGAAACCCAGGGAGAAGGCGCACCTTGAACTGCCTGCTTTCATGATGACCATTCAGGGAACCCACCTGGGTCAGTCACTGCAAGGTTAGAAAAATCACAAATCAAGAATGACATTAATGACAATAAATATAATAAGAGTTGACAAATACACAATATTTTCAAATTAGATTGGAACTTATTAGGGTGTCACAGTGGCGCAGTGGGTAGCACGATAACCTTACAGCAACAAGGTCGCTGGTTTGAGCCCCGGCTGAGTCAGTTGGCATTTTGTGTAGAGTTTGCATGTTCTCCCCGTGTTCACGTGGGTTTCCTCCGGGTGCTCCAGTTTCCCCCACAGCCCAAAAACATGTGGTATAGTGAACTGTTTCAACTAAATTGGCTGTAGTGTACATGTGCAAATGCAAGAGTGTATGGGTGTTTCCCAGTGATGTGTTTCGGCTGGAAGGGCATCCACTGCACAAAATATATACTGGATAAGTTGGTGGTTCATTCTGCTGTGACGACCCCTGATTAATAAAGGGACTAAGCAGAAAAGAAAATGAATGAATGAATCAATGAATGAATCAATGAATCAATCAATCAATCAATCAAATTCAATTCAATTCAGCTTTATTTGTATAACGCTTTTACAATGTAGATTGTGTCAAAGCAGCTTCACATAAATGGTCATAGTAACTGGATCAGGGTAGTTCCGTTTTTAGTGTTTAAGTTCAGTTCAGTTTAGCTCAGTTCAGTGTGGTTTGAAGTCATTATTGAGAGTCCAAACACTAAAGAGCAAATTCATCGATGCATAGCTTTTCAGATCCTGAACCATGCAAGCCAGTGGCGACAGCGGAGAGGGAAAAAAAAATTCACCAATAGGAGAGTGAAGAAAAAAAACCTTGAGAGAAGCACGACCATTTTAATTTCTACGCTGGCCATAAGTCTTGTGTAGAGCTGCAGTCTCAGCAGTGGAGGCTGGAAGCTGGCCTCAGCGAAGACTCAATCAATCTTATTAACATAAACATTAACCGTGAAATCTAATATGTATGACACCTTTTGTGAATCTGCAGAAGAGTTTTCATGAAGATCTGATATATAGAAAAATTACTCAGAATTCACTCCTATATTTACAAAGGTTTAATGAATAAGGCCAAAAAGTATTTTTATGCTGTTGTTTTTTTAAGTGTAAGGTGCAGTTGTTCTGCCTGTCAAAAATACTGAAGCTCTTGAAAGCAGATTCTGATAGGGTTTCAAAGTTTTTTAATTATATCTTCATCATCATTTAACAGTCTAATAATTATTTTAAAATAATAATTTAAATAATAATTTAAAGTTTAGACTAAAAAGTATTAAAACATTAACTAAAATATAAACTAAAATTATAAAATAAATGTTAAATTAATAATATTGAATAGATAAAATAGTTAATTGCATATAAAAATTAACAAAAACACACAGGAATATTTAAAAAACAAAAAAATTATTTAAAAAAATGTAAAAGACAAAATCACACAAATAAATTATTTAAAGTGTGAACACTGACTGTCAAATTTTATCTGTAAAATAAAAAAAACTATCTGTAAATTTTTCGTAAAATTAAAATGTAATCTAAATCTAAAAATATACATACTCTTATTAATGAAAACGTGTTTCAATTATATAAAAATAACAAGCATATATCCCTCCCATTAGGCATGAAACAATAACCATTTTCAAGGTTTACCGCTGTTTGGAAAGTCAAGGTTTTAAAACTGCCAGAATTTTCTGCTATATCGTTCTTAGGGTATGTGTAAGATTTTTTATTTATTTTGTTTGTTTGTTTGTTTAGGACAACAGTGTCTCCAGCTGAAAAGATATCCAAAGATGCTGTTTAAAATTGTAAAGAAATCAAAAACATAAAAATTTACTTTTTTCTGTTTCTCTGCTGATCATTTTAAGCATGTTAATGCCATTTTCTACTTAGGATTTTGCTGTTACTAGGTTACAATAGTTCATAAGCTGGTTACCCTGTGTGCCTGATAAATCTTGTTTCTAACCCTCATTTCCCAGAATTAAGCACCTGCTGCTGCCAGGCCTTCAGACATGCTGAAATGTCAACCTTACAAAACTGACATTCAGCTTGCGTGTAATCACCTATTCATATGTTTGCCTTAAAGAAATCAGTTTTATATTACTTAAACAAAATCTCTAAGTGTTTGACCTTATGTTTTTACCGAAGTATTCAAATTGAGTGTTTGGTTTAGAAAAATATTCCCCCAAAAAAACAATCACCCACAAATCCTGCTCTAATCTGTACTTTTGCCAATACTATTAGAATACAGAATTCTGCATAGAAATGTACTTATATATTATGGACTATATCATCTAATGAAATTATAAAAAGAATAATTCTCTATAATATTGTTTTATGTGGTCAACAAACAATAAAATCTGCATTAGATTGCCAAGACAAAGGCCCGTACCTTGCATTCCTTATCTCCCCTGTACATTTCGCTCGTAGTCCCACAGAATGATCCCAGCTCCGGTCAGATTCATGCCTTCAGTCTTTATTCTTCTCAGTATCGGCGTTTTGAGAGGAGAGGGGACCGTCAGGTTGCTTTCGAGCGCGCACTGTGACGTCTGCACGTAAACACGGGGATTCGATTCTTCGGTTAAAGGCCCGGGTGTGTGCAAGGCATTTTGCCCCGAATTAGTATACGACTTGTATTTCACCGTATGGTTAACAGGCCTGTTTATTTGTGCGTTGCTATCGGACAACAGACCCCTGTCATGAACAAACAAGCGGCCTGTGTCATCAGCGGCATCACACACACGGGCCGCTGCATTGAGATGTTTGATTGGAGGAATGGCCGGTTTGTTGCCATGGGTGACTCCTCCCACTAGGGCATTCGCTCTTCACATTTGATGTTAATAATTATTTACAACGAAAAATTTACTTTTATGTTTCGATTGTAGGTTACTAAAAGTACAATAAATTATTAATAATTTATTTTGTATTATATAAAAAACTGTGACTGTGAAAATAATGCCCGATAACATTCAGACAATAAAAAGAAAAAACGCTAGACTTACTATGGTGAAGAAGATACAGCAATAATACAAATAAATATTTTTAGTTCACATTCCCTTTTTAATTTTTATGTACCAAAATCAAAGCACAAAGTAATCCTATACAGAGCTAAGCATAATTGAGTACACCCCATTTAAAAAATGAATATTTTTATAAATTTCTCAGTAAATATAGGCAATGTAGGCTATTTTGGTGCATTTAAACAAAAAAGATTTATTAAACAGATATATCTATTAAAATTATTTTTTAGTCACCAAACATATTTAGAAATTAAAAGATAATACAATTAAATTCAAGCAAAATATTGTAAAATAATTACAACCTAAAATGACAACAACAAAACTTTAGATTTTTTTTTTTTTTTTTTTTTGCTTCTCTTGAGTTTCTCTCTTTTTTAAATTTGTATTTAATATTTTTCTATAACATATGAATTTGGGTGTACTAGTTTTTTGGACCTTTATCGTGAGTTAAGTAAGTTATTTTGTTAGACAAGCTCCAGATTTGGCTTCAGTGGTGACTATTTAATGTACATGTAGCCTATATTACAAATATAATATTGTATAGCTTCCTATTAAAAAAGAATTTAAAAGATAGATTTGTGAGGAGTGCACTTATACAGTTTGTGTTGCATAATCTATCTATCTATCTATCTATCTATCTGTCTGTCTGTCTGTCTGTCTGTCTGTCTGTCTGTCTGTCTGTCTGTCTGTCTATCTATCTGTCTGTCTGTCTCTATCAACTGTAACTATATGAACTTTGGTGAAACTGACCTCCATACGGAGATTTGTATGCATTTCCTAATTTTAATTTTTTTATATATTTATTTTATTTTTTGTTTTTCACGCTTTCTACGTAAAATGAGTCAGTTTTGTAAGAGACGCGCCTTTCAGTTCTTTTACGGGTAAAATTCCCTAAAATTCAGCATGTTTTGCATTATAACGGAAGTAGCCACTAGATGTCCCTATTCACTCGATTTTCAGGGTCAGACCTGAGAGGATTATCTAGTTAACGTCTAGTCAAATAAAATAGAAGAGGAAAAAAACACTACTCTAGTAAAATATATACATTGAAATGCATTTTTATTAGTAAAATATTAACATTTCTGCAAGGCTTTGCTCAACCATATTGAAAATATTGAATAATTGCATTATAGCCTATAAATAAATCTCCTTAAGTGCAATGCAACGTTTATTATAAGAAGCCATTTACACCTCCTCAACAACAGAAATGAACATGATTAATAAAAATGTTTAAAATATCATCGAATATAATACGATACAGACCAACTTCTAAAATGCAATGCTTTTAATTCTGTTGTAGACAGTGGAGGACTTATAGTCTGCTAATAAATCATCCTGTTAATAATTCATATGAATTTTCAGGAAGCATGTTTATTTTCTGGCAAATATAATTAATCAGATATTAAGAATAATTAACCAGTTTAGGTTGCACATTTACTCGACGTGCTAGTAAACTTTCCACTTTTGTCCTTTTCCAGCAACACATGGGCTAATTTATTACAAACTATTCTAAACGAGTAGCCTAGCTTTTGACAATTTGTTTTAATCTATTTAAAATTTCTCTTAACTCAGTGCGTCTTGTCGGTGAACGTTAGACGTGTTAATGTACGTAACATCTCCATGCTGTCACTGCTAAAGCAGGCGGAAGAGACTCGTCCACTCATAATCTTTCACTCTCTTCACACGCGCCTGTGCTCTTGAGGCAATTAAATGGATTTTGGATTTACTCGGTTTTTAGGGTAAGGCATTACACTATTAACTATGTTATTAATGTAACATTTACAATGTACGTGATTGACTTTTAAAAACGAAGCCTTACTTGACGTCCTCAAAAGACATTGGAATTGTCACATTGTGGATGTAGCCCATGACTTTTTAACATCTAAAATCTATTGAGTTGTCCTATTTGTACCTGATCAAAGTTGATATTTTTCTTCACTTCAGGCAAAATAAAATATAAAAATAAAGCATGTGAAATTTAACAACAACTTTTCCCCTAAATGCTCATTTTGTACTCAATATGATGAAACACTAAATCATTTAATTGAGTGCACTTACTCTAAAGTGTTTTGACTGTTACAATTGTATTACAAAATTCTTATTTCCCCAAAAATGTATTCTTTGGTTATTCTCTAAACTTAAAATCTTCTCATCGTAAATGTATTATTAACTTATTGCTTCTTCTGGCTAAATTTTACATCCATAAATGTACATTTTCTAAAAGAGGATTTAGATTTATATGTGAACTCCTTAAAAGACTAATAATTTATTGCACTTGTTTAATTTGCTAGAATTTTATTTATGTAATCCTTTTTGACTCTTTGTTCATAGTGTATCTTTGTAAATGATCTTTCTTGCATAAAAAATAAATAAATAAAAACGAGATTATTTACATGTAAGAAATGCTTTATTTAAATGTTTCAATAGCCTACAGAAAATTTATATACCAGAATATGTAATAACACAAAAAAAATAATATGAGCAAAGTATACAACAGGTAGTTTATGTATTATTTATCTTTAACACACAGCCTAGATATGAAGCACTACTGATTAATCGATATCAACATTCATTTGTTGCCCTGCACACATGCCCTTTGGTACTCAAGTGTGTCTGTATTTGATGTATTTTTAGTTGTTGTTGTTGTTTTTTTTTACCTCTACAAGGTTTTGATTTCCTCATCAGATTTGATAAATGTTAGATTTGTTTTTAAAACTCATTATTTAAATGTGTGTGTTTAGGGGTTTGGCTATATTTATGAAGGCTAAATGTACTTACAATTTAAACTGCAAAGCCTAAACTACATGGACTTATGAAATAGGCCACTGTGTTAAAAAAAATGGCTTATTAGTCTTACAAACATCTGCGTGTGTGAGCACATGGATAGTTAAAGCTTGTAGTAAGCATTGGTTAATGATTGCTTACAGCAAAAAGTTATTTAGAAGTTTATTATTTCTATTAATGTTGATACAGTTGCAATTTTGGCCCAATCTCAACTCTATTTTTACCCCTTTCCCTTCCTCTTCCGCTTCATCTTGACTCTTGAAACAGAGTGTGAAACGGAAGGGCTTTAACAACGATGACTGCTGTAATTATTCCAGCTGCATTATTTATTTGGTATTTATTTTCAGGACATCACTGAAGGCAACTAAATCATGTTATCATAACATTATAATGTTGCAATAAGCTCATAAGTGTACTGTGCATTTACACTTTGGTCATATTAATCTAAACACACAAAAACATCATTAATGGTTTACCAGACACTGTAAAAAAGGTCCTTCCCAGCCACTAGACTTTTCTGACAAGGTATTTGAGTGTCATTAAGTGGCAGATGTGAAAGTACAGTATGTTGCGGGACAAAGTTGTTATTAAGGATTATAGATTTAAATCTTTTTTTAAAGCATGCCGGTAAAACACAAACGTCATTATTGCGTATTAAAATGTATTAAAACATGTGCTTGTTTGTTGTAAAAATTGATAACAATGACAAAAAATAATAATTTGTGCATCTCTTGGCTTCCCTGTGCAGCCAATTTGCTCTTGTAGATGATGTATTTTGGGTATTTTTCGTAACCCTTGGCTTCGAGTGTGGTCCTGACAAATCTTTATTTCAAGGGCCCCTTAGCCCTATGCACCTTAAATCTAAAATGAATTGGGACACCCATATCCCTTTGCGTGAACACGCAAAATTAAGGGTAAGGGGAAGAGCTAAGGGGTAGAATTGGGCCTTTGAAAGGTTTTTTTTTTTTTTTTTTTTACAGTTGTTGAGACAACTCAAAGTTCTTACTGCATCAAGTTGCCTTATTTTTTTATGTTTTCTAAACAGTTTATTTTTTACAGTGTAGTCTTGACCACCTTGATTATTTTGGATCAGCTGTGTTTGATTGGGGTTGGAGGAAAACTGTAAAGAGCTGTGGCCATCCATTCGAGTTTGAGACCTATGATGTAGATGAAACTGCTAAATTCACATGAAAATATATATTTTAGTTCCTTTCGAGAATGTTTATTTTATGTTATGAATGTTTATTTGTATTCCAACTATGAACTAAAGTGTCAATAGTTATGGAATGATATGAGGGTGACAGTGATAATGACAGCATTTTTATTTGGGGTTAAACTAACCCTTTAGAGTACTGCCTCAAACATTATCCGCTTGTTAACTATGACGTCATGCAAAGTGACTTTCGGGTCCAAGCGCTCTATTCAAATGTATGGGGAGACTCATGAAGTTGTAATTATAAACGTTTACGAAGCGATTTAATACTTTCGAAAATAACGATCGCAATATATATGTCCATGCCTAATATCTGATGGCCAGAAAGTCATTCCTTTTTTGTAAATTGTCAAAATGTTGGTATTTGTGATGCAGCAAGCTGTGTACAATATGACTTTATATAAAATTAGCTTTAATGTGTGATATTAATTAAAAGTGATCATAAACAAATAGTTTCTCAACTCAAATGAGTGGCGGATTGGACCCGGAAACAGTATTAAATACTTTTACCAACACATCATCACTTAACAAGCAGATTTGAGGCATATGAAGATTCAGTTTGTTCTAGATTCTCGATGTTGTCTTCACAGATTGAAAGTATTTTATGGCATCTGGGTTTGACGTAAAACCACATTAACTCTGTTGTTTCCGGACAGCTAATGGTTGATGTTGGTGGTTTACTTTAAACTAGAACAGGGATGTCAAACTCAATTCAGTTTTGTTCCAACCCTAATTGTACACACCTGATCAAACTAATTGAGTCCTTCAGGCTTGATTGAAACCTACAGGTAAGTGTGTTGGAGCAGGGTTGGAACTAAACTGTGCAGGGCTGCGCCCCTACGGGAATTGAGTTTGACATCCCTGTAGTAACTAGAACACGGTGAGAAAGAGATGACAAAGCTTAATTCCAAACAAAATCACTACAGAAAGTTCACACCATAAACTGAGGATGCACTGGAGAATTATGCTGTAAAACTCAAATTTAATTTTGATTGAAAAACAAAAACTGCCTTAAATCATTTAAGTTTAAAGCTGGCTTGCGATGCCCATTTTACACAAGTTGATATTATTTTTAATGAAATGTCTATAACTTGCTCTGTTTAATTTGTAAGTAGTGTCAATAAACATCCCTTTAACCCAGTCAAAAAAGGCCTCAATCCACAGTAAACCACTTAATTCGTATCCGTTTAAATAAATTTTTCCTGGGGATCTACCTTCCTGCAGATTTCAGTTGCAAAATATATCAAACACACCTGCATGCAATTATCAAGCGCTGTTCAGGTCCTAATTAATTCAGTTCAGGTGTGTTTGATAAGGTGTGATTGGAGCTGAACTCTACAGGAAGGTAGATCTCCGAGAATAGGGTTGAGCACCTCTGCTTTAAATGCTTATGAACTGCTGCACACTTTGCCGCTCTCTGAGAGGTAGGATGACAAATGGCTTTGATCCTAGAGCTTCTGCTGAATTTTGTCAGTATGACTGGTGTGGAGGAGTATTTGAAGCTGTTACCACACATTGTAATGATAAAATGTGAGATTGTGATGGAACATCCATCTCCCACATGTATAATCGACGTAGTTGATTATTGTTTAACGTTGCATTATTATCAATGTAAAATGTATTTATAAAAAAAATCTTCCTATGAAAAGTGATACTGATGAGCTCAGCTGCAGTCTCTGAGGTTGCTGCTACTTAACCACAGCACAACACTCGCAAACACACTCTGCATATGCATGATGATCTAATTCTTAACACCAGTGCACTGAAGCAGGCATTTGGTATATATAAACAAACAAAACAAGCAAGAATTGAAAAACCTTATGTGCTATCTTTCAAACTTTTCTTACTCTTTCTGTGATATTCCCTTCACATGAAACATTCATACATCTGTTACCTCTTTTGAAGATAGGATACTGTTTAAGGATTACTGTGAGCTTCTAGATCTGAACACAGAGCAAAAAAAAAGTTTGCTATTTGTTTAAAAAAAAAAAAAAAAAAAAGAAGTATGAGGAAGAGGTAGTCTATAGATTGTTGCAGGTGTAAAAGGCTTGCTAGTCATATAAACCAGCAGGAAACACTAAAATAATCTAACTACATGTTTTCTATTCATCTTGCTGTGTCTGATCTGGTAGAATCTTTTATCACCAAAGTGCACTGAAAAACAGGATTTCTGCAAGATTGTTGCAAACAATTTATATGGATTGAATTTAAACAAAGGCAGCACAGTGGTGCAGTGGGTAGCACAATCGCCTTACAGCAAGAAGGTCACTGGTTCAAGCTCTGGCTGGGTCAATTGGCATTTCTGTGTGGAGTTTGCATGTTCTCCCCATGTTAGCATGGGTTTCCTCTGGGTGCTCTGGTTTCCCCCACAGTCCAAAGAAATGTGGTATAGGTGAATTAGATAAGCTAAATTGACTGTAGTGTATGTGTGTATGACTGTTTCCCAGTGTTGGGTTGCAGCTGGAAGGGCATCCACTACATAAAACATATACTGGATAAATTAGCGATTCATTCTGCTGTGGTGACCCATGATAAAAGGGACTAAGCTGAAAAGAAAATGAATGAATGAATTTAATGTTCAACTTAACTTGTTTGTTTAAATTCAGCCCAAATAAATTTACAATCACTTACATAAAAAAAAATGTAAATTCAAGGAATCATCTTTGAATCATTTATTTCAGTGTAGCTCTTGTGGAATAAAAAAGTTTGGGTATTAAAGGATAAACTTTAACAAGAAGATGATTTTAAAAAAAGAGGTTCAGAGAGCAGCATTTACAGTGGATCTAAAAGCTGTATGGAAGTGTTTTAGCCCATAATATTTCCAGATTTATTGTCAAAAGTCAGATTTTCAGTCCATAATATTGTAGTAATATTACTGTAAACTTGGTAACTAAATCATTTTGACTAAGGTATGTCTTTAAAAACTGAAAGAGTACTTCTGACGATACAAACTAACTTTGCCATCTGATTAAACTTAAACAAAACACTGATCACACACTTTCCGAATCCGCAGAGACAGAACAATCAACATGAACTGGAACCACGTCTTTTATATAAAAAAAGACAAGTGGCAAATCTGGATTTCGAAAAGTTCTCAGTTAAAAAAAAAATTTTTTTTCAAAAACATTCATTACAAACATATTTTTTCACATGTTAGCAGACCACTGTAATCCACAAATGGGGGTCCACACGCTACTTGTGCTCTCATTGCAGGGAAATCGAAACAAAATTTATAAACAAAACACTGACGATTCATGGCTCTGAACAATTATTTTTCTTTCACTTGTTTGACTTATGGTTGGCAACACAACATGCTGCTCTCTGAACCCTGTAAGAGGTAAAAACAGTCTTCAAAGCTTTATCATGCATATTAATGAAGTTGCATCTCGTTCACAATAGAGCGTGCTGATTGGTTTGAGCTAAGTCTTTCTCAACAAACAGATGTGCTGAGAACTCAATGACGTCACTTTGTACCGGCTGGAATCTCCACACTGGATCTCATCGCCATGCTGCAGATTCAAAATTTCTTTTCAAACCAGAAGAACGAATTTGCTCTAAACAACACAAAAACAACCAATTTTCACTTTTTAGTGAAACGTGTGTCCTAATAGTGTTTTTAACAACATGGTACATGTTTGACTGTCAACATCTCAAATGCAATTTGGTGTTTTGTGACCCTTTAAAGCAGGGGTCACCAATCTCGGTCCTGGAGGGCCGGTGTCCTTGCAGGGTTTAGCTCCAACTTGCCTCAACACACCTGCCTGGATGTTTCAATTATACCTAGTAAGACCTTGATGAGCTTGTTCAGGTGTGTTTGATTAGGGTTGGAGCTAAAATCTGCAGGACACCGGCCCTCCAGGAACAAGTTTGGTGACCACTGCTTTAAAGCATAGGTCTCAGACTCGATTCCTTGATTCCCGCAGCTTTGCACAATTTTCCTCCAACCCTAATCAAACATAACTGATGCAACTAATCAAGGTGTTCATGACTACTAGAGACTATTAAGCAGGTGTGAGTTGGAGGTGGTTGGAGATAAACTATACAGAGCGTTTGAGACCATTGCTTTAAAGCAGGGATGTCCAAATTCGGTCCTGGAGGGCCGGTGTGCTGCAGATTTTAGAACTTGCCTCAACACACCTGCAAAGGTGTTTCTAAAAAGCCTAGTAAGAGCTTGATTAGCTAGCCCAGGTGTGTCTGATTGGGGTTGGAACTAAACTTTGCAGGACACTGGCCCTCCAGGACCGAGTTTGGACATGCCTTCTTTAAAAGTTCTACACGCAACAATGTTAATTGATAACCTTTAAGTTTTGTGCTTTAAATGTAGCATTTTTGGTCATACATTTGAGTTTTTGATCAGAATATAATAAATGATTTGAGTTTTGGAGACACTGCTTGTTTAACCTGCAGAAGACATGCTACATCCCTTTGCACCGCCAGAGAAATACAAATGTAGGTAAATTAGCCAGGTCTTTGCTTTGCATCTAAACTGAAGCTGCAGTTGATTGGCTTGTGTTTAGGTGTGACATGCAGAGATCTTTCCTGACCAAAGTAAAAGATAAATGCAAAGCATGGACCGGATGGTTAAGTACTGTTACGGTCGTTAATATCAATAAGGTGTATGTCCTTGTTTTAATTGCAATGTATGGTATAGAATAAAAAGTCATGGTGCAGTGGAAAAATAATTAATATTGTGTTTGACTCCCATGAGCTTGGATGACTGTACAACTAAAAAATGTACATTATGACTTCCTAGAGCACAAGTCTGGCAGATGACTTATGAGAATCATTATACTCTTGTCTTACACTACCTGTCAAAAGACTTGTTGTGACTTCAAGTTGATCGTTTAAAAAAAAAAAAAAAGTGGCAGAAGGTCAAATTTTTTTATTATTTTTTTTCTCTCTGATGAATCATCTGTGAGCTGCATCCCAATCACAAATACTACAGAAGAGCTATTGGAACCTGCAAGGACTCAAGATTCTCACAGAAATCAGTCAAGTTTGGTAGAGGAGAAATAATTTTTTGGTTTTGGTTTGGGGTTAGATTCAGTATGGGGTGCGCAAGAGATCTGCAGAGTGGATGGCAACTTCAACAGTCTGAGGTATCAAGTCATTGATGTTGCCCATTAAATTACAAATCACAGGAGAGGGCAAATTTTACAGCAAAATAGTGCTCTTTGTAATACTTCAGCCTCAACATCAAAATTCCCGAAAGCAAAGAAGGTCAAGGTGCTCCAGGGTTGGTCAGCCTAGTCACCAGACAGGATCATTATTAAGCATGTCTAGGGTAAGATGGAGGAGGCATTGAAGATCAATCCAAAGAACCTTGATGAATTCTGGGAGTCCTGCAAGAAAGCTTTGTGCCATTCCAGATGACTTTATCAATAAATTATTGTCATTGCAGAGATGTATGGATGCAGTCCTTTAATCTCATATGAGTCATACACAATATTAATTATTTTTCCACTGCACCATGACTTTATATTCTATACTGTACATTATTTCTGTTAAGTGATAAGACTTTGTCTCAACAAAGTCAGACCTTAATGTCGTAATTAAATAATTCAAAATCAAGGCATGATCATATTTTATTTTAGTAAAACAAGCGTAATATAGAGGACTTTGCCTTTCATATAATACACTTTTGATACCAAATGATCAAATAGAAATAAGGCTATTATTTGTTGTTCATAAAACCTGGATAGGCGACAAGACATTTGTCAGGTATTGTACTGACCATTGCCAGATCCCAAAATAATGTAAATGCTAAGTTCAAGGCACATGTGGTTCTGGGCAATACTGTCAGGCTGATTGGACTAGTACCTATGAATTTGACTGTTTTCTTAGTTATATCAGGATGAGTGAAACTTGATAGTCTGGACAAGACTTTTAACTATTGTTGGACTTTGGTCTGAGGCTTCAAATAAGTTTTAAATTAATTATGAATCAAATGTATAAAGCATACAGAGCGCTCTGGGCAGCAGAATAAACTCTTTATAGTGTGAGGTTTACATGTGGGCATTCCACAATACTCTCTAACCTTCGCCGCCAAGTATATATTGTAGATTTCCCTTCTGCCTCACCCAGGGGCTCTCCAGTAAGAAAGATACTCCATCCAGATCAGTTCAAACATCAGTTCAATCATCAGTTGTTAGGCAGAACAGCAAACCTGCACAGAAAAAAATTATGCATACACATAACAGAGCCTGCAAGAGAGGGAGCTTAAGCCCCTCCCGTCAGTTATTGTTCCTGTAAATGAGCTCACTCTGGAAGAAAAGATGTAACATTCTGTTGATAAGTACCGAGGAGTTAACTTCTCAATAATCAGTCACACAAAGGCACGGCTGTTATGGTTTTATAAGGTTTATAAGTTTTTATAAGGTTTTATGAGGATAAACGCATCAGCATAAGTTCATGTAATTAGTTAAAAACAGAATTAAACTATTAATGCAAGGATTAGTTTATTAATGCATAGGATGAAGTTAAAATCACCAAACATTCCTTCACTATCCACCTCAATTACATTTTTTGTTAGTTTCTAAAAGTCAGTTTATTTATCTCTGCCTATACGCACTGACCCTACTAAAAATGTATATAAAACAGTGCAACACTCTACTTGCTAAACTTCTTAGACTTTTTCATGGATGCAGCAACAAAGAGTCAATAAGACTGCCGCTTGAAAAAAGTTCATTCTTTTGAGCTGCGCTTAAGTTCATACTAATTCAAAATCTTTCCTCTGTGTGTTTCAGGCAATTATGCGTGTTGTAAATAGGAAAGCAGTGGTGGTTTTGCTGGTGCTTTTGCCACTTACAGCTATGTACTTTTACTACTGGAATTTAAACAGCATTACAACCATCAATGTGCTCCAAGGACCTGACTCTTTAAAAATGATTTTAGAGAAAAGGTCACAAAGTTTGCAACACACAAATGACCACATCCCTTACCAAATCAAAGACGACGTCTTCAAGTAAGAAAAGCTCTTGCACACATGCTTCAAAAAGCTACAGAAATCACAAAAATCTGTCTCTGTGCCAATATAAAGAAGTCTTTTGTTCTCAGTATAAAATAAAAAACTCATTTGAAATAAACATTGCCTCTTAATTTTACACTCTTTTATTGCTAGTAAATGTAATTAAAGACATATGATGTGTGACTAAACTTGCAAATATGCTTTTTACCTTTTAAGCAGAAGTCTTGCCTTAAACGGGTGTGTCTGTGAAGGCAACAAACCAGGCATCACGTTCCCATTTTCTAAACTGTTGTTCCCTGAAATATCGGCTACTAGGCTAGAAGCAATGTTTGACGATTCAGACCTGCAAAAAGCAAAGCAATACAGAAGTAAAGAGTACCAGCGTTATCGTAAAAGGTAGTGCATCTTTTCACATTATTTTTATAGTTTAAAAAAAAAAACATTAAGAAGGTTTTAACTTTCTTACACACTTAATTGAAATGCACACTTAAAAAAACATTCTGTGGTAAAGTTTATGACCATTATGACAAACAATTATGACATTTTTCTTTGGTAAAGCACAAAAAAAGACATTTTGAAGAATGCTTGGACATTGGACTTCTGAGTAAAATGTGGGTGAGTAACTGGGTTACATTGGTAATTAAACAGTTACTCGCCTACATTGACTACTGTAGTATTTTTTTTCATAAAATGGAAGTCAATGGGAACTGGCATTTGGTATTCACATATTACAAAATGTCTTCACATAAAGACACACACATGTTTTGGAACAATTTTTAAGTTGTGTTTTCATTTTTTGGGTGGATCTCTTGAAATGTTAAATAAGTTTTTTTGTTTTCAGGGCATATACAGCTGCAGATTCCCTCATCTTATCTGAAGCCAACAGCCCTCTTCAGTACCCTACGCAGGGTGTGGAAGTCAGACCTACAAGGTCCATTCTAATTCCAGGTAAAAAAAAATATGTTTATATTTATATATATATATATATATATATATATATATATATATATATATTCAAAATCTGATAAACAGTCTAAATTATCATGAGAATCCAATTCCCTAAAACCACCAGCGGGATTGCAAATTCCCACAAAATAATGTAATTTTGTGGCCAGCATATGTTCCCTTTTGTCTTGTAGAAAAGGTTGCTATGAGTATTTTGTTTCGACACTGAGGGGCCAGTGCCATAGGGGTTTTGTGGAGCAGAAAATAACTGCATTAAACAAGCCAAAAAATGTAACAGGTGATTGTTACAGCATTGCTGATGGCTGGAAATAGAACAGTATTCAGTTTCCAGTCATCTGACATGGCACAGAGAACAGGAGATAAAACATCTAGAGACTTGTGTATATATATATTCAAAATCTGATAAAAAGTCTAAATTATCATGAGAATCCAATTCCCTAAAACCACCAGCGGGATTGAAAATTCTATAGATGTCTACTGTAAATCTGTGTTTTAAAAGTACACAGATGCAGCAATGTCATTTTCATAATGACCAACACAATCACAATCAATTTCTGGTCTGAATTTTAATCTTTTTTTTTTTTTTTTTTTTTAACCCAACATTGCAAAATATAGTTTTTAAACTGCATTTGAACCCTCGGTATACTTCTGTTTAATTTAACAAAGTATGATGTTAATGTAAATCAACTCTGATTGTAAACCATTATAATATTCTTGCGTAAAAGCACAAGATTACACATTAAGTCTGTTATTATGTTTTCAAGGTTTAAGTCTGAACCAAAAATCAGAAAAGGGCCCTTATTTGGTAAGCACAACATTGTCTTTATTGCTTCATAAATATTAATGTATGCTATGTGTCTGAGGAAGTAAGTCATTTTGGCTAGAAATTACGCTTACTGCAGGAGAAAAAAAAATGCTTAGAAAAAAAATACCTGCAAATAAGGAAACATCTTCATTGGTTTGACAGCACATGCACTGCAAATCCTCACACCAATAGATAAACATGCTTCAAATCTTCACAAGGCATGCAAATACCACTGACCACAAGGGAAATGTATAAAATGATGAACTGAAAAAAAGTGACCTTCCTTTTTATCTTTTGCATATTATTGATTGGCTGATGATTATCTTTGAATCATTATTAGTTAGCTAAATTAACCAAATATCATCAACTAAATTAAAATGAGGACAAATGAAATTGCAGATAAGAATAATAGACTATTTTTTAAAAAATGTAAAAAAAAAATCAGGCTCTTTTAGTAAACTGTAAAACCCAAAAAGGTAACTAGAACCATTTGAGGTAACCTATTGCAACAAACCATTTAGGTTCAAAAACTAATCCTAATGAGTACTGTGAACTTAGTTCATTTGAGTAATCGAAGCAATTTGAGCACAGAACTCAAACCAACTGAGTACTGTAAAACCTAGTAAGTTAAGTCAACTCAAACCATGTGAGTGAAAGTAATCTAAATGAGTACTGTGAACTAACTCCATTAAAGTTTAATTAATAAGGGAATTTAATTAACTAATTTCCTTCAACACTGAGTTCAAAACTCTTTTCAAATGAGTACAATTACCTTTCAGTATACTGAGTTAACTACTGTACACATTTCATTTGATAAAGTTGACAGTTGGCTTTTACAGTGTAGGCTAATGATGGAAAGGACAAAATAATACAAATAAAATTTGCTAACTTTAGTAATTTGTTTTCCGATCAAAATATGCATGTGCTTTGAGGATTTGCAGCATGTTTTCTTAATGTTTATGTGTTGTAACGATTTGCAGCACGTTTTTTCTATTTGTACCTGCAAGATTTGCAGTGTGTGCACTGTCAAAGCGATTGTCTTTTTTTTTTTTTTTTTTTTTTTTTCTAATTTGCTGATGTTTTATTTTGCAGCTATTAGGCTGTCGGGCACCGTACATAAGAAATCTATTTTAATACAATCTCATTTGCAGGTAGATCTGATTGCTACTATGGGAATATTCAGCACAGCAGCAGTGGTCGATGGAGTACAAGTGGAAGGGGAAGGAGAGATGCAGATTCATTTTATGAGCAGATCACTTGCTTCACTAAACAGACAACTCGAGTTTGTTACCTATACAAACACACGGTTCCATCCCAACACAGCAGACGTAGGTGAGAACCCAAAACAAGTTTCCGCATCACATTAGAAAATGTTTGATCTGCAAAAAAAGCAACCCTTCAATGTCAACATCTACGACAAACATCAGAACAGAGCAAACAACCTCATTATTCACTGTGCTTATTCATAAATTTATAATAGAGTAGTCATTTTGTGGCCAGCATATGTTCCCTTTTGTCTTGTAGAAAAGGTTGCTATGAGTATTTTGTTTCGACACTGAGGGGCCAGTGCCATGGGGGTTTTGTGGAGCAGAAAATAACTGCATTAAACAAGCCAAAAAATGTAACAAGTGATTGTTACAGCATTGCTGATGGCTGGAAATAGAACAGTATTCAGTTTCCAGTCATCTGACATGGCACAGAGAACGGGAGATAAAACATCTAGAGACTTGCACTACAGACCTGTCAGGTTTTAAGCCGCAGATAATTAATGATCTGTCAACAAAAAAATGTAAACAAAAGACAGGTTTTGAGCTTTTGTGATCCATCTACATCAATCAAAAGTTCAGTATACATTTTAGTGATGACAAGCAGATGAGCCCACAATGTGAACACTCTCTCTTAATGGATCGAATCATATTAAGCATATTTATTATGTTTGTTTACTTAACACAGAGTTTATCATGTTGCCCCAAACCTTAACCATACAAAATTGAATCTTATCATATCACTTTCATACCACTTTCACAGATGTGGACTTGTAATTTATTTAATTATTTTATTATTATTAATTTATTTTTTATTTTTTTAGTTTTTAAAGTTTATTCATAAAATTTATTAAAGATAGAAATTAAGTGAACTAAAAAAAAGTTCTGTGAAACTAGCTTTAGGGCTTTCAGAGCAGAAATGAAAGCAGCAGCTGCTGCTTCAACTTTTTGTTGTCCTGTTTTTCATTCATTTGTAAACTCCATGAGCTTATTTCACAATATTAGAATAAGAATTAGAAATCAGGTTGACAAACAAAACGTAATAAAACACCATATGTATATGTGAATAGGGCTCGCTCGTACTTGTTATCCATAACCAAAATACATCTTAAAATAAGACTGTGACATCACAAGAAAATGAATTAAAACAGGTTCATGTAAAATGTTTTAGCACTGTAAAACCCAAAAAGTAAAGGTAACTCAAACCATTTGAGAAAACCGATTGCAACAAACCATTTAAGTTCAAAACTAATCCTAATGAGTACTTTGAACTTAATCCATTTGAGTAAACAAAGCAATATGAGCACAGTACAAACCAATAAATGAAGATAGCTGAAAACCAACTGAGTATTGTAAAACCCAAGTTAAGGCAACTCAAACCATTTGAGGAAACCGATTGTTATGAACCAGGGGTCACCAATCTTGTTCCTAGAGGTCCGGTGCACTGCATGGTTTAGCTCCAACTTGCCTCAACAAACCTGCCTGGGTGTTTCAAGTACACCTTGATTAGCTTGTTCAGGAGTGTTTGATAGGGTTTGAGCTAAAATCTGCAAAACACTGGCCCTCCAGGAACAAGTTTGGTGATCCCTGCTATAAACCATTTGAGTTAAACTAATCCATGTGAGTAATGTGAACCTGCTCCATTTAAGTTGAAGCAATGAGGCATTTAATTAACTCATTACCTTCAACACGGAGTTCAAAACTCTTTTCAAATAAGTAGAATTACCCTTCAGGAATTTGAGTTAACTAAACATTTCATTAGATTAAGTTAACTGTTGGGTTTTACAGTGTATTTGATATAAACCAAATATATTAACAGAAATATACAATAATGTAAAATAAGCATGTTTATGTCCTTCATTTTATTTAAGTACAACCTTTCCTTTATCTGTAACAGTCCAGTTTAAATCAGGTGCATTCCAGGCGTCCTTTACCGTCAAGATTAGACATCCACCAATGCCCAAATTCTATAATCCAGCACCAACGCAAGGTAAACCATAACAATCAATATCTTTTCTACATAATTCATTTCACAGTATTCATGTTTTCATGTTGTTCTTCTTACAGAATACAATGTAAACACTTTGGTCACCATTGCCACCAAAACATTTCTACGCTATGATAAACTTCAGGATTTGATCAACAGCATTCGACAGTTTTACCCCACTACAACTATAGTAATAGCTGATGACACAAAGGAGCCTAAGCCTGTAACTGGACCCCACATCGAACATTATATCATGCCCTTTGGAAAGGTTTGAATATACTCTTATAAATAAACTCAGTGTTTTTTTAAGTCAGAAAAACTAGATTTTGTTTTAAAATTCTGTGTTTTAATTACAGGGCTGGTTTGCTGGTCGTAACTTGGCAATCTCCCAAGTAACTACCAAATACGTGCTTTGGGTGGATGATGACTTTATTTTCACCTCAAACACCAAACTGGAAAAAATGGTGGATCTTTTGGAGAAAACCACTTTGGACCTGGTGAGAAAGCCTTTTGTAATTACTTGTTCAGACAAAGACGTTATAGAAAGAATGTTTAGCATGAAAATGTTTTGACATGTCAGAAGAGAGAGCAGGAAGCAATGAGGAATGTTATTTGCTCACACAACCAGACCTGACTAGTCTCATGATTCCCACAATTACTTCCTCTTAAACATAGAAACCGCACATTTGGTATTTAGAAACATGAATCTTATTAGAAACTGCTTTGCAATCACTCACAAATGTTGTGTTAAATCAAGCCATGCAATCATGGAGCTTATAGGTTACAAAAATAAAGTGTTGGCTCAATATTTGGTTGAGCAATGGGTTGTAAAATCATGGAACATAATTTTTTTTTTCAAAGTACGCAGCCTTACCTTGGTAATTCCAGATTGCAATAGCATATTATTAGTATGGAGCCAGATCAGTCTCAAAAATAATACATTTACAAAATAAAGTTCATACATGCACAGCACAATTCACATTTACAAAGTCTAATTTGTAAATTCAAAACACTGTTCATAAATACAACAAACAATTTGTGAATTCACAAGTAAAAATATTTTTGCCAAATGAATTGGATTTGGAATTGGATTTTTTTTGGATTCACGTTTGAATATATGAATTGGATTTGTATATTTTTTTTAATCGTGTTTTGAATTTTGATTTAGATCTTGTATTTACGAATCAGATTATTAATTTACGATTTGGATTTGTGTATTTATGAATCTTATTGTGAATTTACGTTTAGTATTTGTGTATTATCAAATCGTGTATTGAATTTCCGATTTGGATTTGTGTATTTACAAATCGTGTTTTGAGTTTACACATTGTATTTGTGTATTTTTGAATCGTGTTTTAAATTTACACTGGATTTGTATATTTTTTAATTGTGTTTTGAAATTTACACATTGGATTTTATATTTACGAATCACTGTTTTGAATTTACGAATTGGAATTGGACTGATCTGATCTGACTCCATATATTAGTAGACTCATTAAATACATTTTAAGGTGAACATTACTACACAACTACATAACTTCATGGAGCAAAAAAAAGTGAAATTGAATCAAAGAATACCTACTGCAATGCAAATATTTCGCACAACACAAAGTTTTGTTTTCTGTTTGGATGTGGCAAGCAAATGAGTTACAAAGAAAACTTAAACTAGTAAGATGCAAATGAAGCAGGGGTGTCCTGCACCTAGGGTCTGGTTTTACCTGACTAAGTATTAGCAAACTCCAACAATAAGTTAAAGGCTGTTGGATTTAGCATGTAGAGACACGTCATAATTGCACATAAATACCCCCATGATTAACGTATTCTCGGGTGGGGTTGTTTTTTTTTGGGGCGAGGAAAACACCTATTACACTTGTGCAACTTAAGAAACATTGGTCATGATTAACTTAAGAGTAATGACCAGACAAAAAAAAAAGATTTTTAGGAGGAATTGCTCAACCAAGGAATTTCTCCTACTTGCCTTCTGTCACAAAAAAATAGTCAAATCTGTTGTAGCATTCACACCATGTATATATTTTGAAGAACAAAATTACCATCCAATCAAATTTCTATTTTGACCTTTTGCATTTAGTGAAAGCTGGACCTGTGCCATCTTGCATCAGGATACATCCAGTAATTTTACTAAATCTTTTCAATTTAGAAGGAGTGTAATGGTATACACACGTTCAAATTGAACAATACCAAGGCTTTCAGTTTGTTATGCACTACAAATCAAACCATTCACTACAGCTATTTGGATAATACATATTTGTAAAATAAAATAGCCTAAAGTTTGTAATAAGGTTCTCAGTGCCACTTCTTTTAACGAGGCAGCCGAAATGGTGTACTGTAACAGATAACGTGTGGCATGCCCCTGCTACCCTCTAAAAAAAACATCTCCAACAACTCCAGTCAGACATACACTGGACAAGCTACGATATAACTAACTGACTGACTGACTTACTTAGTTACTAACTAACTTCCTAACTAACTTACTAAACTACTTACTAACTAACTAACTAACTTCCTAACCTACTTATTGATTCATTCATTTTGTTTTTCGGCTTAGTCCCTTTATTAATCCGGGGTCGCCACAACAAAATTAACCTCCAACTTATCCAGCACATGTTTTTATGCAGCGGATGCCCTTCCAGCTGCAACCCATCTCTGGGAAACATCTATACACACTCATACACTATGGACAATTTAGCCTACCCAATTCACCTGTACCGCATGTCTTTGGACTGTGTGGGAAGCCGGAGCACCCGGAGGAAACCCACATGCATGCAGGGAAAACCGGGAGAACGCAGGGAAAACTCCACACAGAAACGCCAACTGCCTTAGCCAAGCCTCGAACCAGTGACCTTTTTGCTGTGAGGCGACAGCACAACCTACTGCGCCACTGAGTTGCCAGGCATTAACCTACTTAACCTTCTAACCTACTAACATACTAATTAACTTCCTAACCTACTTACCAATCAACTAACTAACCTACTAACTTACATACTTACTAACTAACCTACTAACTTACCAACCAACCTACTTACTAACATACTTAACTTGCTTACTAACCTACTTACTAATGTAATAACCTATTTACTAACTTACCAATTAACCTACTTACTAACTAAACTACTTCCTATCTTACTAACCTATTTACTAAGTTATTAAGCTACTTACTAACTTCCTTTTATATCAAAGTTGATATTTAGCCACACCATGTTGGTGTTTTGTAACATCTAATTTTATGAGGTAAACCTGGAGGACCAGGATATACACGCATACATTACTGATAATTTAGCTCACCCAATTCACCTATAGCGCATATCTTTGGACTGTGGGGGAAACCGGAGAACCCGGAGAAAACCCATGCGAACTCAAACAGAACATTCAAACTCCACACAGAAATGCCAACTGACCCAGCCGGGGCTTGAACCAGCGACCTTCTTGCTGTCTACAGCACTACTCCCTGTGCCACCATGCCACCCACAATATTCATTAATGCAATTATCAGAACATATTGTACACCAAACTATTTTTGCAGTGCCTGGCTGTGGGATTTCAGTGGTTTCATAAGTCTTCTGGTGTTATGCTTTTAGTTTGTTTGCTAATGTATTGTAGGCTTGATTTCCTGTCATGTTCATGAACAAAAGCTTTTAGACACTTGACCAAATTGAATACAATAAAGACCAACTTTTACAATGGAATACTTAGAACACAATTACTGGATTACAGTCAAATTTTTGGAGCCTGAAATCTATCTATCATGAGGATGCATTCAACTCTGCGACAAGAGAAAGGCTGTGTAAGAAACCAAAATCAATCAAAAAGTGCTTCTAGGGTAATTAATGTGTTGGTTCTATTTGGGTAAGAGATACATTAAGATAAACAGCAAAATTATAAGCCCAAGGCACTTTGAAATAACCGCGCCCCCCCCCCCCCCCCTTTTAAGCCTTTATTAACATGGCTATTCCATTAGAACTGCACCTAAGCCATTCAGCAAACACTTGCCTTAATCAGTGTAACGAAAATTAAGGATGTGTGAAAGTAAGTGTGGGGAAAGAGCATGCAAAAAAGGGAAACAGCATCTTACCCGGAACCCCCTATCTACATTGCCCTACAAAAGAAAATGTTCAATTCTTATGAAATAAACAGGATTAACTTCCTAGAAATGTTCACTTCCTTCAGGTACTGTAGACATTTGTGTTATGACATTTATAAATCTTGGTTTATCTAGCGGGATTTGAATTTGTTCACTGACTGATTCAGTGCTCCATTTCATAGATCTGAAAATAGAGACAACAGGTAAATCCAGTGGAGGGTGTGTGTCTCTATGTCAACAAACTTAAGAGTGATCAGTGTGTCTCAGTCTGTTTTATTTGGCCCTCAAATAACATATTCATCCAAAAGCAAACCAAGGGATGGCTGGGGTGAAAACCATACTTGCTTTACAACAAAATGTGTACAAAACTCATATCGCCATGGATGGATACTGAATTTGCAAATGCTCTAAATAAATAGGCTTATTTCATATAAACAAGATTAGATCAGAACATTTGAAGATGCGATGATACTGAAAGTATTTACCATTGATTCATTTTTCTTCGGCTTAGTCCTTTATTTATCAGGGGTCCCTACATTGGAATGAACCGCCAACTAATCTGACATATGTTTTATGCAGCAGATACCCTTCCAGTCCTGGGAAAATCCATATACTCTCACATTCACACAAGCACTCATACACTATGGCCAATTTAGTTTATTCACTTGTCTTTGGGGGAAACTTGAGGAAACGCACACAAACACTTTGAGAACATGCAAACTCCACACAGAAACGTCAATAGGCACAGCTGGGACTCAAATCAGCAACCTTCTAGTTGTGAGGCAACAGTGCTAACTACTGAGCAACCGTGCCAAATGCTGATAATTTCTAACAATAGTAACCTAGGTCACTGTAATAATTTGGGGAAAATAGTAAAAAATATATTTTAAAGTAAAATCAGAAGTTTATACATATTTTTAAGAAAACTATTATGTAATCTACTCACCGAAATGCGGTGAGCCTTCGTGCGGTCGCATGGTTCTCGCCGTGGCTGATGCCAACACTGATGTGCACCTCTTAAAAAAATTTAACTGCATATCGCAACAACACATGCGTTTAGTCAGCTCGGTAGCTTTGCCAAGTGTGAGAATAACAACAAAATGTGTCATTCTAGAATAACTTAATACTTAAGAAATCATACAGGATCTGTTCTAAGAGTCTAAACGCACCGAAGACTCCAAAACTCATTTCTAATTTGCTAATACTCTACTGCACCTCTCCAATGGTGAATGAAATAAACAAGTCAGGCACTAGAGTAAAATATTACAGTATTAACCGTAGAGTCTGTAGGGTAAAAGTAGAGTCCTCCTTTGCAATATTAAGTCAAAGTATACCAGTACCTCATTTATAATTTACATAAAACTTACTGATCAATGTTTATTTTTCAAGAAAGTTGAA